GGGGACAGTCTCCTCAATATGGGGACTGTCCCCGGACAAATTATGTCCCCTGAAATATAATATATAAATATATATTTTTTATACTCACCTGATCCCTGGATCCATCGACGAGCAACCTCCCGTCTCCCACGCTGTCAGAAGCTGCATACAGTAACCGGCGCACACTGCAGTAACAGGCGGCGGATAATATACAGGGGTACAGGTACTCCTAGAATGAGATCCTAATAGGTTGGACTTGATGGACTAATGTCTTTATTCAACCTCAAATACTATGGGAAAGGAGGAGTGTGCCATCTGGCTGGGATGTTGTCAGTCTCTGGCTGCACTTGTTGCCTATTATCATCTATTTATCTGATTAATTGATTACAGACAGGGTCGCCATCAGGGGGGTACAGCCCGAAACCCATGTGAGGGGTTTGGGCAGCCTGGGGGGCCCCTTACATGGGTATCGGCTGTACCAGGGGTGACATAGCACAGGTGACAGGGGCGGGGGTGTAGGAGGCCTGGCCACAGCAGTGCCGGTCAGGCGGCGGAGGAGGCCGGGCCCCAGCAGAAGCAGGTACTTACCTCCTACGTTCTCCTGATGAAGTGGACCTTCGCTTCATGAAATGCATCATAGCTTTATATATGGGAACCGCTCTTCCCAGCCAATCAGCATGGAGCCGGCCGAAACAGCATGGAGCCGGTTTCCAGACCAAACAGCATGGAGTTGGCCAAACAGCATTGAGGAAGCTCCTAGCCAATCAGCATGGAGCAAGCCAAACAGCATGGAGCCGGCTTCACGGCCAATCAGCATGCAGCTGGTCAAACAGCATGGAGTCGCCTTCCCGGCCAATCAGCATGGAGCCGGCCAAACAGCATAAGAGCCGCCTTCCCGGCCAATCAGCATGCAGCTGGTCAAACAGCATGGAGCCGCCTTCACGGCCAATCAGCAGGGAGCCGTCCAAACAGCATTGAGCCGGCTTCCCAGCCAATCAGTATCGAGCCAGCCAAACAGCATTGAGCCTTCTTTCCGGCCAATCAGGAAGCCAGACGGTGAGTCATTACCCGCCGCCCGGCTTCCTGATTGGCCGAGTAGCCGCCTCCATGTTCCCTCGCGGCACTGCCGCTCAGAGGAGATCTCCCTCTAGTATTGGTAACAGTGCATACGTAAAACCTCCGGGATTTCATTCTATCCGGTATGGATCACTAGAAGCCTGTGTGCTCCCTGAAAAAGAACCCACAATAAACTAAAACAATAGAGTGTAAGAGGAGGAGACATCCATTCTCCTGAGGACGCTAAGCAAAACTGGCGGGTGTGAGGTGGGGGGGGAGGGGTGATGTCCTTAAAGTGGCAGGTCTTTTAATTCTTCATTGCCTAGTGTCTGGAGGCAGCGGCATAACCCTACGTCTCAGAATTTCTTCAGAGCTGTGTCCCTCAATGGATGATAGAGAAATACGTGTAAACACATTTCCCTACTTACTAAATACGTGTCACTAGGAAGTACTGAATGATGCCGATATGTGTCAGCGATGAGGATTAACGGGGAATAAAGCACTGAAAGTGTCCGATAAGGTTTAAATATTTTCGTGTGTTATCTCGTGTTATCTTTAGATCCCGGTGTTCCTCGTGATGATACAATGCCACAGTTGCCTCTCTTAGAACCGATACGTCTTTCAGGAAAAACAAAAATGATTCTGGTGTTACCGGAACGGTGAGCTTGTCGGGGGACACACCACCCTGAGCTCAACATGAGTCGTGACACGCAGGCCGCCCGGGGGCACCCGAATGATAGCAAATAAAATTCAGGTACTCACACTTTTTACAATGAAAATAAAACACAATTCAGGATGTATTAATGATCACATTAAAGAAGCATTTTATTAAAGGCTCCACAGAGGTTTGTAATCTGCTGAGAATGCCGGAATGCATTGGGGAATTTTTGGAACACCCAGGACTACTTTTAGTGGCTGATTTATAAATCTTCCAGCCAGCATATAGCTGTTCATGCCCCGCTACGGCCACTAGATGGTGCTGTAGAGCATAGAAAAATCCTATGGTCCTTGGCTCCATCTAGTGGCCGTAATGGTGTATAGCTGGGGGAAGATTTATAAATCTGCCCTTTAAAATTCTTGCCAAAACGTTTTATTGCTCTGAATAGTGGATGGTAGAGCTGCAGCTCCAGTCTAATTTTATTGGTGCCTGGGTCCCTGGCTGAGTTCTTAGGTTTTTTTTGGGAGTGGGAGGTTAGTTTAATCAAGGGGTTGGCAACCTCCTGCTGTAGTAAAACTACAAACCTCAGCATGGAACTGCCTCTGATTGTCATGACTGTGACTGTCAGAGTCTTGTAATGCCTTATGGGACTTATAGTTCCACAACAGCTGGCATGCCAAAGCTGCCCCATTCACCGGTGTGATGCGCGTAGGGTTGCCACCTGATTCACCCGGACAGTTCGGGTTTTGAATGCTGTGTCCGGGTTTCAAGGCAGCTGAAACCCGGACACCAGATGTCAGGCAGACAGGGGGCAACCAAAATTGAGATAGGGGCTACTGGCCTCCCCACTGAAAATAGTGTCAACTGTGATATTTACATATTAATGGGTGATTCTATTTACATACGAATAAGCCGCAGCTCATTCTCCCCAAAACATTTCTGTGCGTCACTAGAGCGTTCGGGTTTCTATGGAAGAAAAGGTGGCAACCCTAGATGCGCGGCGCACAGACAAGATGCATTTTATTTTGCATTGCACAGCAGCACAGTACATCGAGCTGCAGTACACTCTGTAAACTGTACTCTCCATTCAGGGGACCTGAATGGAGTGTACAGTTTAACCCCTTCGTGACTGACGACGTACAGTGTACGTCGCCAGAATTAGGGCTGTTTAAACAGACTCCCGGCGCTTTTGCCGCCAGGACTCTGTTTAAACTTGTAAAGCCGACTGTCGGCTTTACCACAGAAGCGCTTCTGGCGAGTTACCTGCCGCCAGATTTGACTTACTAATTAACCCCTTTGTGACTGACGACGTACAGTTTACGTCGCCAGCATCGGGGCTGTTTAAACAGACTCCCGGCAGCTATTGCCACTGTCGGCTTTACAACAGAAGCGATTCTGACGACTTTCCTGTCGCCAGATTGCTTCTGCGTCCCGAAGAAGGGGCCGCCCCCCCCCGCCGGACACCCCCGCCGTGCTTCCCGGACTCCGTTGCCCCTCCTACGGGCCCGGGACCGGCTTCCTTGGTGTCCGCGGGGAGCTGGGGAGGAGGTCGACGAACTTCCGTTCATCGATCCCCTCCCCGTTCTATGGGACCGGGAGCGATGCAGATTGCATCACTTCCGGCCCCTGGGCTGTCAGTTCTGGGCTCAGTTATTTCTAGTGTAAGGCTGGGCACAAAACCTTACAACCATTTTGTCTTGCGATGGTTGTAAGGTACTTAAAAAAACGTACCATCTGCCTATCTTGCATAGGCAGATCATACTTGCGATGATCGCAAGCCACGCCCCCTGAGGGGCGGGCTTCCAATGACCGCAATGCCGAACGGGCAGTGTGCGCTTGCGCACACCGGCCCGTACGGCTGTTATCGTACGGACATGCCACAAACCCGCCGAACGTCGTGCGATGCTCGGCGGGTTTTCGAACATGTCCGTAAGTTCAAAGTCGTTTCGACCTTACAGTAGTAGAGGTCGCACGGCTTCCACACACCTTACAATAATCGTATGATCGCGGGATTTCCCGCGATTATCGTAAGGTGTGTGGGGACCTTAAAGGTGACACTGGGGGTCTTTTGGACCCCCAGCATCACCTTAAAGAGTACCTGTCACCACCATCTGCTATCACATGGGGGGGGGCTTGTAAGCACCCCCTATGTGATAGCAGTCAAAGTAAAGTTAAAAAACCCCCAAAAAAACAATTTTTAAAATGAAAATTAAATAAAATAAATATAATAATAATGTAAAAAAATGTTTTCAAGTCCCCCGCCCCCGCGAGCATGCGCGTCGCCACGTAAACACGCGTCCGGTGCGCCTACATATGAAAACGGCGAACGTATTACACATGTTGGGTATTGCCCCGCACGCCGGAGAGCAATTATTCTAGGGCCAGTATTTTGGGGTATCTCTAAATTGATGACCTGTGGGGGGTTTTCAAGCGTCTTCTAGGGACTTTTTGGGGTACTGCAGTTTTTCGCCGTTTTGCGGACGCACGCAATTTGTAACATGGGCATGTTGGGTATCGTTTTACTCGTTGTAAACTCATCTTTTATATTTCATTTAAAAAATGGGTATTTTGTTGTCTTTTGGGGCATTTAATTACATTTGTCACTAAATTTTGGGGTTTAATAAGGAGTTGCGCTAATATTGCGCAATATAAAAATTTGCAACTACCACCACTTTATTCTATAGGGTCTTGGCATTCAGAAAATATATAATGTTTGGGGGTTTTAAGTAATTTGCAGGCCTAAAATGTGGAATATAACATGGGTGCAAAAAATTTAAAAAAGGCCTCAGTCATGAAGGGGTTAAACACTCCATTTGCCGTTCTTACCATCTTGTCTTCAATTGTATTGTGATTGTAATGTCTTCCTTATATTGTAAAGCGCTGCACAGCTATATACATCCTGTATAATAATAATACACATGTTTGTGTACACAGACACACTTTGATTAAATGATAAATGATAAACACACATTTGATACATATTTTGTCTCCCGGCTCTCCATGCTCCTCCTCCTTTTGCTGTAACATAAGAAAATAAAACAACAAGACAGCTAAAATAAACTCCAGAAACCCCTCCCTCCATCTCGCCCATTCATTCGCCCTAAACAATCATGGCGTCTCAATACTTTCTTCCTTTTACGTCACGTCCGGTTAAAAACAGCTGGCTGTTTCGAATGTTGCCCCTCCCGCCGATTGCGGCGAGCTGACCAATCAGAGAACACCACCGCCGGTTTAAGGCATCCTGTGCCTTGGTTACCACAGCACGTCTATTCCCGGGCAGCCAATCAGGAGGAGCGGCGGCTGGCGTTTAAAACCCAGGAGCGTGGGATCAGTGACCGTTACAGGGTGTGAGGAGAGCGAAGTGAACAGAGGTGAGTGAGAGGATTGAACGGTACTTGTATTAGCTGGTCCCTTCAGCGACCCAGACCGGTGTCAGTGCACCACATACCGGAGTGCAGTCTACAAATGTGTATAATAGGCGTGTGGGTGCTGGGACGTTCCAGGTGCTGCAGCAATAAAACAAGACTGGTACTCACGTTGACAACAAGGCTTTCATTCTTCTAATTTGTTAACCTTACGGGGGAAGGAGGGTGCTCAGGGCTTGGATTCTTGGGGGTGCACAGAATTTTGGCTTGGGTTCTTGGTGGCATGGGGGGGGGTAGCTTCTGCACGCAGCTTGGGTTGCTGGTGGCATTGTGGGTGGGTGCGC